CCAGCAATCTGGGAAAAATATTTTTTTTTAAAATACATTCAAAGTTAGGGATGCTTTGTTGAGATCACAGGCAGGATTTCTGATCCACTTTGGTGGCTTTCTGGTACTGAATTCATCTGTGGATCTAAACTGAGTGTCACCCAGATTGTGTGTTGGCTGTACCTTAGAATTTTCCCATCTGGAGACAGACAAAAGCACACCAGCCTTGCTCAGCTCAGATTAAAGGTGTTATTTTTGAGCACTGGAACACTAGAAAGTAAACAAAATAGGTAAAAAGTGTGAACAGCCCAATGTGGAGAAAAGTTTCTCCAAAGTCAGAACAGAAGTTACTACCCCTATTTGCAAGCCTGTAGAAGCAGGGCAGGATGCAATTGCTCCAGGATCATCCTTTTGCCCTATGGCTATTAATTCCTCATATACTGCATCTTAGGGTGGAGTTTACTATTTTAATGAGATTCAACTACGCAGGGAAGTGAAAAATGGTATGGAATTATTTAGTAAAGGGAAAAACTTCCCAGTACTAAGGCCAGCGCTAAGAGGTCAGTCTTTTTTAGTCTAAGCATAGTATCAATTGCAATAGGTTTATTTAAACTTCTATTCTTAATCAATTATACAATCTTATGAGCACTGACTGTACAACCTGTAAGAATGCAGTGACTGCACTTCCTAAAAGAACAAAAGCCCTCATGAACTGTTGTATTGAAATCAATACCCAAAGAACACAAAGGTGTTTCACATCAGACTCCCCTCTCTGGTATCAGCAGATTTCTGAACAATTTAGGTGGTAAATAAATGACGTGTTACCAAAAGATACATGAAAGACACAAAAGAACTTCCCAGTATGTCATGTTATGGTTTTGACCAGTGAAGAAGCAGACAAAAAACTTAATTAAAAGCACAAAAATGTAATAAATTACTGTCAAAGGAAGTCAACATAGTGCAAGAACAGGGGGACAGAAAAAGTGTGGTGACTCTATCCTGTTGCGATATCCAACAGGCACCACAAGACGGTACCGATAAAGCCCTTGATAGTCTTGAATATAGAAATACAGGATGAAATCAAACTATAAAGGAGGAAAAGTGACTAAAATAAGAAAGAAAACACAAGACAAATGAGGTGTTATCTTTCTGTGTCATCTGCCTTTTGCAAATCTAGCAAGCTATCACCTCTCTTTAGACTATCTTACCATGAGTGAGTGAGAGGGCTGCTCCCCAGCACTATGGCAGTTTCTAGCATCTCAGGCAGTGGAACAGCTTGCACATTTTTGCTGAATCAAAGGAAGAACTAAAAAGCAAATACAGCAGTGAAGTTTACTGAAATCAGCAAATTCTGCATCTTCCCAGGAAAAAGGAATACTCTTGAGAAAGCTGGCAACAACTTGAAGAACTGGATCGTGTCAGAGATCACCAATTACAACTCCATTGGAAAAAATGTCTGAGTGTTTCAAAATCCCATTCCTATTTAATAAAAAATAGAGCTAGATGTGAGAGATCAGAGCTCCTGGTTTTGTCGTACGCAAAAGCATGACCAGGTCACCTACAACATGCTTCTAGTCCAGCAGAGATTGTGTTGTGAGATGTTAGAGTTGACTCACCTGCCAAGATTTGGGTGAAGGTACTCAGTTAACACATAATCTGTTTTTGACCAGAAGGCTGTTAAAATCATTCAGACATGTAGTTAATCTGGGCTTCCATCAGCCAAGTTCACTTCTACTTGTACAGCCCTTATATTCTGTGGAAACGCACCAGAGTGAACACTGATGATGATGATACACCACACAGTCTGCTCGCTGCTGCAACCCTGCCTGTCTGGGACCTCACAAGGCAAGGCACAGTAAAATTACTGACCACTACTTCTTCTAAATAACTGCCTCAGTGCCTGTGGGATATGCTGCATACCACTCCGAAGAGGGCACAGAAAAATTGCCATCCTGGTTCAGCAACACTTTACAGCAACATAATCTTGCAAGGTGGAGGGCAGCAGCTACCCAGGCCAGCTGAAAATGGTAAATTGATGCTATTTTTATATTCGTCTGTCTTTCACCCCTTCATCTGTGATTACTGCCATTTAATTGTATCTTGAAGCTACACCTCTACTATTGCAGCTTTCACTTTCTGTACAAAGAAATCCAGCAAGGTCCTTTCCTTTGATGAACCAGCTTAATATCAAATTATCTTCAATTAAAAGTCATGGTTATCCTACTGGTCTCAGTCAGACGCTTTCACCAAATTTCTGTCAGGTTATTGACACACACACAGGTGCTCTCAGATTTATTTAAGCAACTATCAGTTTAAAAAAAACAACACCCAAAGCATTGTATAAGAGCCTCATGTCTCCTGCAGGTGCACAAATGACAAAAGGTGACACTTCTCAGTTCAATGCTATGTAAAAGTAAAAGCTAGAAGAACTTTGGGAATCCAAACTTGCTGACAGTCACATGCTTTGCTTTAAAAAGATGTGTAGTCTTACGCTACACTGTCACACAAAGTCAACGTAAAGCATCTATGGTTCTCTACAGGACAGGAGCTTGCGCTGGTGTATTTTTCCAGAGCCAAAATATTATGTTCACAGCATGATGTTTGTGCTGAATAAAAATTAACCTATGAGGGGAACCAGAGAGTGTTCAGCACCAGCCCATCATAAGTTGTTACTGAAACAGTTGTACCAAATCTTCATTTTGACAAAGCAATGGAGCATGAGCGATGGCATAGGGTAAAACTTCAGGGCTTTTTAAAAATTGAAATCTTACATATTTTCTTTCATTTTATTTAAAAGAAAAAGTAATCCAAACTTCAGTTTTCAAAGTGGCAGCTACAGCAAGGAAAATAAACTGACTACTTCTGCAGTAGGTGAAGTAGCCTAACTTTGTTACTGCAAGGGGTCCTGAAACTAGTCTCAGGTGTTTTTACACTGCTGTATCAGTGATCATTTAAGGCATGATGTTTAAGTACAGTCCATTTTTTTTCCTTTCCCTGTAAAAAATTTGTCTTATGTTTCGTGCTATTATTGGTAAGTCTCTTCCCCAACAATATTCACAATCAGTGACTCAATACTCCTCATTATTGGTTTCAGTTTTATCCAAATTTGAGGGATGGGAACTTTTATAGGAAGTCAGTACTTGGACCTCAAAATTAACTTAGAAAACAAGTAGCATTGTCTTTGTAGTACAGCAACCTGTTGGGATAGCCGTCCCACACAGCTTGTCTGCTGCGTCACCTGAACGCTGCCATCAGCAGTCTGACCTCAAAGTCCACCACGACCAGCCTTCTGAGAAGGACCTTCAGAGGAGGCTGGAAGGGACCTTGAAAGATCATCTGGTCCAACCTTTCATGGGAAAGGGGGCCCAGGAGAGATTATCTAGCACTGTCCAGTCACGTCTTGAAAACCTCCAGCGATGGGGGCTCCACCACATCCCTGGGAAGTTGTTCCAGTGAATGATGGTTCTCGCTATAAAAAATGTCTAATATCAAGACAAACATTAACATATTGACACTTGACAAAAAATTCCAATTTGAACTAAAAGCATCCACACTTACATTCCTCATTTATTACATTATATAACCTGTAAGCAGCTTAGGAGATGTAGTCTCATAATCAAGTTACTCTCAACCTAAAAAGCTCTAGAACAAGCAGAGGACCTCGTTGTTGCCACTGAACTTCTGAACTTGTGTCAAGCTAAAAGGCACTAAAGTGGCAGCAAAACAAAAAGATGTCTGATAGTGGCACCAGCAGTCTGGGAAGATACACTTCACTGAAACTCCTAAGGGCAAGAAACAGATGGATGATTCCTGAGACCTACCCTCATTTTTAAGTGCTGCAAGTAAAGTTTATTAATTAATGTTTTAAAGCTAACAAAAAGCCAGATCTATTTAATCAGCCAAGAAAGCCTAAAGAAGCTCTATTTGGCTGTTTGTAACTTTGGAAAGATGCTTTTTTATCAACAGCAAAAGTCAGATTCAAATAATGAATCTTTGAAGTTATTGCTTTCTTCTTTCCCTGCCTTGAAGGGAGGACAAAAGATTCTTAATTTATATGGCCTCATTAACTTACCTCTTCTAGTACCTGAGCTAATTTTGGCATCTTCACAAAGCATTGTACAGGGCTAACATTCCCAAGGCTTTTAAAGCCACTTCTGCCAAGCCTTCCTCCTAAATGTAATTTGCATTTAACTAGTGTTAAAAAATCCTTTGTACTATTTTGTTTAAAATTTTACTAACTCCTCCAAGTGAAGGACTGTTTATCACATTTGCATTCTTTTTATAGGTAAAGCACTGAAAATTAGCTGATCCTTTGTTCACAAAGACCTTTGTCATTTAATTCTCAGCACTGAAGAGGAGCTTAATGCCTTTGACTGGGAGGTGAGGACAGAGAAGTATTCTGCAAGAGACAGTAACACATTATTTCATGGACACTGGTGGTGGCTTCACAAAGCCACATTCTAATGTCTGGAGCCACAAAGCAGTACAACTTTGGATGTTTCCGTTACATTGCTTTTGGCTAACTGCATGAGGATCAGCCTACATGTGTCTTTTGAAAGCAGAAGCAATATCCAACCATTGAGGTTTGCATTCCTCCTCCAGCCACTTCTCCAAACTGTTGGGATGACAGTTGTGCAAAGCTGTTATTTCTTCATGTATTATCATGTCCTTAAAATCTACTTACCGATTAGCATAGAGCATAAAAACTATTTTCTAGAAGGAATGGCTGATTTTTTGCGAGTCCTAGTATAAATTTTAGCCACAGAGAAAAACAAAAATAACCCTTCAAAATGTTGGAATCTGGTCCACAAAACCAGTATTGAATCTGTGGCTCTTTTTCTTTAGAGTTGAAGAGGGTGGAGCAGTAAAAGGCAGGAAAGCAATTTTTTTTTCCAAATACTTGAAAAAAAATATATGTTTGCTACTTCCCTCAATAGTTGCAGTTTCAAACAACCCAACAAAAAAGGCCACTGCTGCTGACACACCCCTCTTCCACCTTCAAAAGATGAAAGGAAAAGCCTTTATTTCCTTCTCTGCACTTGGCTTCTCTTTGCCTGTGCTACCTCGGAGCCCCCTGCGGTTTGGTGCGCCGTGACGGCAAGGCATGCTGGCCTCCTCATCCTTTCAAAACTGTAACATTCGACTTTTTCTTCACTGGAGACTGTCCTGGTGCTTATGAGGCGAAATCCGTCTTTGAGTAAAGTGTCAAGCAGCAGGCCTAGCACATTAGTACCGTTAATCAGCTTTCTGTTATCAGGCTTTATGGAAACATACCTAAAATAAGAAAAAAAGTAGTTACAACATACTTTAATTACTTCCTGAAGGATGGAATCAATTTTTTTTTACAAACCAGGTCTTTGGATGTTACAGGACAGCACAACTGCATGGCTTTACAGCAACCAAGGTTCTGCATTTTTTTTCCTCCTTTGAGGACATTTCCCTCCTTATGAACAGTAATCCTCAGCTCATCCAGTTAAAAGTAGAGAAGAAGCACTCATCTTTCACCCCAGACCAAAACTTACTTTCTTAAGAAATAGCTGTGATAACCTTCATTTCATTTCATCTCATGGAGGAGAGGTGAATGGCATGCTCTGCATAGTGCTGCAACAGTTTTTCAGGTAAGAGTAAATAACAGAAGGGACACCACAACAGCATCACTTTTCATTACACAGGAACTCTCTCTACAAACTGACATTTATTGCAAAGTTACCTTGTACAGCAGGTCTTGGGGTAACAAGTATGAAAATCATTTTCACATTGCCTCAAATGATTTTACTTGATATAAAGTACAGTTTAAGAATCTATTCAGACATTTCGAGGAACAGAAGTCAGGTAAAAATGCTATTACAAAATAAGCTGACAGGGGTGAAACTCTTCCACAGTTCACAGGAAGTATGACAAATATCCACAGAAAGCAGAAAAAGGTAAAAGAATCCATGTTCACCACAAAGACTAAGTTGACAGAAATTCAGTGGGCAACATAATCAAACTCTACTTGTTTCATTATGCAAGATAAGCTTTTCTATTGAATTGCAAAGGAAAATTTTTACCAAGTCTGAAGAAATAAAGGATAGAATCAGGAATATTTTTCCCATTATTTAAATTGCCATAACCTACTCAACCAATTGTTAGTCCATTAAAATTAGTACTACATTATAAAATTAAGTTTTGGCACATAAATGTATTTTGCTTCACAAATGCAAAGTAGTTTTTCTTCTACTTGCTTAGCTAAAGAAAGCTAGAAGAAAGATTAACTTTTTGTTTTTTTCAAATAATCAAAGGACTGCTGTGTTGATTCATATATTCAGGGAGAATAAGCCTTTTGGAAATATTTCAATGAAATTTCAATAAAATTCCAGATGTTCTAGCAGCCACAGAGAACAAATTAGGTTAAATTTTCTTATACAGTAAGAATGTGTCTCTACACAATAGAGACATCCAGCAAGAGCTTGTTTAAAAAATATGAGTTGTCATTAGAATACAATACTGCTATCACAAAAATCACTGATATACAGTAATCTTAATAAAAACAGAATCTGTCTTTGAATTCAAAGAAAACACACTGTGTAGCATATAGTTAATAATCTACGCCTTCTCCCTCCCCCCTATAAAAAGCTCTACAAAAGCTTTCCAGTCCCTGAATTGCAATCTCAGTTCCACTGGTGTTTTCAACTCTGTTTAGCCATTCTTTTTTCCTTCTTTTGACATGAAAGTTTTTTGGACCATGAGCTAGTGGAGATTTTAGATTTCTCCAGGACCTCACTCCTTCTTTATTTTTACCTTTTTGCTACCTTTGCTTCATTTTACTCTGTTTTTCAAGCTTTACAGAAGGTCACTGATGCCATGAAATTCTGAAGCCTAGCAGAGCAAGCAAGGAGGAAAGGGCAGAGAAAGACACAACAGAACTCAAAAACAAACATCAAAACCAGTATTTTAGAACACTGAAGAACAGGCACATCAGTGTAACAGAAATTAAACTGGGCATTTCAGAACTGGAAAAAGGTAACATTAAACTAGAAGAAAGAAGGAAACATATCTATTTTCTCTCAGTTGTCCGATAGTTCCTTTAAAATGAGCTTTGCTAGCATGTAATATGTACTTCATGAACTAGAAGTCACAAAGACATTTCCATAATGAGAAGTCATACTAAGTAGAGAGTACCTGGCCACAAACTGGTCACCTGCAGAGTAGTCAGTACCACATTGAAAAATCACATCATGATGAGAAGGTCTTTCCAAAGGAAGTGGAACGAGTGGTTTCTGAGAAGGAAAAGGGCTGTTCCAGCTCTGTCCTGACTGCTGCCCTGTAAACACAGTGATCTTCTCAGCTAGTGTCTCAACAGTGGTGCTGCAGGAACCAAAGATCCGGAAAAAGGCCTGCATCTCTTGGAAAGAAAAACGCACTTCCAAGATCTCCATCCTTGGCTTCAGCAAGTGTTCTTGGCTCAGGAGGTCAGCCAGAGGGTGAAGCCCATAGAATTCCGCTTCTCTCCGCAGCCTCTGATAGTCTGAGAAATCAGTAGGTAAGGAGACCTGGAGAGTCCTCAAGAAGTCCATGATGTAACTAAACAAAGTTCCATCTCTGTCCACAAAAAACTCTCCATTCACCAGTTTAAATTCCTGGTCGTCATTGTTCAACATCCGTGCTAGCCTGGACTCAGGGAACTGCTGCAAGGTAGAAGCCCAGGTTACAAATCTCACACCTCCCACACTCAGAACGACTACCTCTCGATTATTCATTGCTATCTCAGCCATTCAATATTTGTAACTCTCTGATCTACGTGTTTGTGACTTGATCTTTCCGAAACCGCAAGCCATCTGCAGCTGCAAGAACCATTCAGTGCTTTTAGCAAGTGTTTGGAGTGAGGTGTGGAGCAGCTACATGATTCCCAGGCAACAAAGATGTAAATATCATGTACAATAGTTTTGTTTGCAGGGTTTGGTTGCTTGGAAACTTTGATTCTTGGAATTTAATGTTTCATTTTTGAAATTAACACCTTGCAAGGACTACTGGAAGCCAGTGAATTGACCATCACAACGTATTAAACCTTAAAAGAGGCTAACAAATATCCCCAAAGTATGGCACGCATTACATTTGTTTCCCGGAAATGTCAACTAAATGTTTTCATTCTATATATTGCAGTTCATAGGACTGCACTGCAAAAAGAGGTTAGATGTGCTTCAAGCAATATATTTCAGTATCGTATGCTCTTAAAGAGGGGCACTTCAGAGAACTCAAACTTACAGTTCACTTTAAATCACTGTTATCCTACAGCCAAGTCAATACACGCAGAAAACTCAATTCACTCCTGAAACAAGGTACACAAAAATTCAGTAACAGCAGAAGAGCCTATATATATCCCAGTGCTAAAGCACTTACAAACACCAACAACATCCATACTCCTGTCACATTATGCACTCTGTTCCAAGGAATCATCCCATCATTTTTTCCCACCTTTTTGGAATTATGATCTGGAGAGACAGAGAGAGAGAGCAGAGAGAAACTACTCTACCTGCCACCTTTCCAGGGCTAGAGCGCAAGCTGCCTTCCTGTGGCCGACCCATGTGTGCTTTTGACCGCACAGACCTGTTTACATTAAGGCCACTTTTTAAGGAAGTGTGGCTTCAGAGAAACATGAATCTAACAAGACAGCTCATTTGCTGGAAATGCAAACTGCAAACTGTGTACTACCTGCACAGTACGTATTATGTTGCAGCTTCCTCTTATCAACTTCACTGATTTCTCTTTACCCCTAGAATTTATGCTTGCCCCGAAGATGGTATTTTTGTATAGAACATGTAAACGATACCAGTATCTACAGTAATCTCAATGCACTGGATAATTACAACATTTGGTTATACAAAAAAATACATATATCTATTTCAGTGAGAAGTAACATCCTCAGATAGAAAGTGGTTCCAGAATGTCAATGATGCACCTGGTATTTTCCAGTGGAAGGGCAGTCCTCAACAAGCCTCGCAGTACAGCACTCTTCTCAATCACAACTGCTTTTCCTCTTTTCAAACCACCTCCCAGATAGAAACTTTTCTTAACTATGACCTTTTAAGAAGTGAGACTTTTTATCTTTTTCTACAATTACATTAACATTAAACTAAGTACACAGTTTGGCCCCATATTTTGGTAAGAAAAATGATTTACAGTGAATAATACTCCCACAATCACCAGTGAAAGAAGAATCCAGAAACAATGTGTTTTTCAAAGTTCCATTTCATCTTCCAGATTATCAGTGCTCAAACTATATGAACAGTATGAATGTTTTGGAAACATTTTGAACCTTTGAATGTTTTCACTGGAAGTCTTAAAAAAACAATTAATTTTAAGAAGTTCTCTGTTGTTTTCTTCACCAGATCTCTCTTAGTTCTTACATTTCAGTTGGGACTTCACAACAGTTTATATTTGCACACAAACTGTGCAACATTATCCAGTACAACCAATGTATAGTTTTTACACTTTTCTCTTAGAAGTGAAGCTCCATCTGTCATCTGTTCCCAGTAAAAGACTGCATGATCTGCTATCTCCACTGTATCTGCCAAATAGGACAAGCCAATTGTAAAGAACTGAGATTTCCAGCACTGGAGATTATCAACGACTGACTCCACAAAGGACATTCTGGTGACAGCAAGAATAAGCAAGCAAATAAGAGAGGTCACTATAAATCTGCGTGAGGGAATCTTGAATTTAAGAGTGTTGTTTTCCTGAGGCAAGGAAAGTTTGTCCACATCAACTAGTTTTATTCCATTCCACTGGCTGGTATCAAAGCTCTTCATTGTAGGGCTGATGTCCACACTGGAACAAGGTAAAGGAGTTTCTTTGAGCACCTTGATTTTTTCCCTGAACTCCTGCATCTGTTGCAGAAATATAATGGGTTCAGACACATCTTTGAAGGCCTCTGCAATGTTAAAAGCCATCCGCTGCTCTTGCAGAATTGTGTTCAGTTTATTGATTTCTGGATCGTAGGCCTGCATCACTGCAAGTTTCATAGTCTCAAAGTCAGAGAGAATCTCGTTTCGTTTCTGCTCCAGCGTGTGCTGCAGCTTCTCAAAGAACTCCTTCACTTTGTCAGAATCTTTGGTCAGCATCTGCAGAGCTTTCCTCTTACTGGTTTCTAAGGTATCCAGCCGCGAGAGGGCATCTCCACAACGCCAAGTTTCAAAGCCCTGAAACAGGGTTTCAAAAGCCCGCTTCTCCTGGGAATAAGCTTCTTCAATAGAACAGAAGACGTGCTTTGTATGGTCACCACGGGTGGCACAAACCCCACAGATCAGCTGCATGTCCGTCCGGCAAAAAATGTTAAGGGGTTGCCCACTGTGCACTTTGCACACAGGCATTTTTGGAGTTACTTTGATTTTGTTATACTTCTCCACAATACCTTTCAGGGAATAGTTGACTTGCAAGCTGTTGACTCCAGTAACAGGAGTTTCCTTCCTACACGTGGGGCACTTGAAAGGGGATGGCCTCCAAAGCACATTCCGCACGTTTCCCTCAAGAATTCCTTCCAGACACTTTCTGCAGAAATTGTGTGAACAGGGAAGGACACGAGGATCATCAAACAGGCTACAGCAAATGGGACAGGTGAGATCTTCCTCTAGGAGCTCCATCATATCCTAGGAAAGAGAAGAAGGATGGTAACAGAACTTATAGAATGTATTTCTCCTCCAGGGAAACCATGCAAAACACTTATCTCCATCCAAGACACAGCTCAGTGATAAAAGGATCTACTTTTTTCTGGAATATCCTTAAGACAAAGCCTCAGCTGGATTCTCGCAGCTGGTCCAGCTAGCTGTGGTATCTGGCCAGCAGATGGCAGGCACAAGATTGGCTCAGTGTCCAAGCAGAACCATTTTTGGATTCTCATCTAGAAATGCAGGAAAAGGCTTGCCAAACCCAGCAAGGGCTTTGAATGAAAATAACTCATGTACTCATAAATAACGGTTCAAGACTTAGATCTTTCTTCACTTATGCAATACCCAGAAACTGGATTTTCACAAAAGATACCCAGCCAGTATGCTCTGCTAAGATTTGATTACTCTCTGCTCGCTCAACTCATCCAAATCTTACAGTTTCAAACCTCATGCACACTACTGTAAGAAGGCAATATTAAAGGTGACTGAAAAAGCCCAGCTTCAGAATTTCTTCAGTTACAGAATATGTGATGTGGCTCTTTGCTCTATCTGCAAAGACAAAGGGAAGTTCCCACTCACTGAAAAAGTTAGCTTTTCTCTTGCTCCTGTGATATTTTTTTAAAATAACCAAGTGAATGTGTTATCATTGAGCTACTCAGCACAATGTTGAAGTACTTCAAAGAACAACTGCCCATAGCCTTGACAATTCATCATGAAACAAAACTGTTAACCATTTTTACTCATCCTCAATCTCTATTTCCAATTCCATTCTCACAGCATCCATGCCTCAGCAATTTCGTTTTCTGGACAGGACCTACAGGAAGAGGATTTATCATGTACTCCATTGTACTGGAAAGTCTCAGTGAAGGGACCCGGTACACTACCCTCCCAGTGCCTCTAACCAAAGCCAGGTTCTCGGATGCAGACACCTTGTAATTTACAGCATGCTCTAAGAAAGAAATAGCTAATAAAGACCAAAATGGGTGATGGTTTGTATTAGCCAAAACTCTCAAATGCTTAGCTTTAAGCTATAATTAGAAAGATGCTTCCCTTGTATAAATTCATTCTATACTATACAATATGTATTCATACATATATGTAATAAAATTCCATTTATAAATTAAAAGCTGTATCACAAAAAAGAGCATCAAAGTAGTCCTGTGACAGTAAGGTATATGAATAAGCTCTTTTAATTAGTTTTGATGTTATTACTAAGGTTCCTGTCCCCTCAAAGAGATACAAAGTGGCAAACATGGGAGCCAAGAAGAGAGCTGCAAAGGAAGATCCACGCTACACAGGACAAGAAGAGCAATAAAATCAACACCAAAGCAAAGATAACTACAGGGTAGAACGGCAAGGTCAATTCTGAGTTTCTTTCACAAGAGGACAGACACAGTCCCAGCAAGACTTCACAGTAAAAGAGCCGTTCTTGAGATGTGTAAGCAAACTTCCCACGCTTCACCAGTGACGAGGAAGAGGGGTATTCCCTGTGCTTATTTGGATAAGAAGAGTTTGGAAAAGTTGCCAGCTTTTCTACTCATCCTGAAGACTAAGGTCATCAGGCAGAAGCAGGCCACCATTACAGCTAGGGACAGAGCCCCAGAGAAAAGGTCTGACTCCATTTACTGCCTAAGGTTTCCTGTAAGACCACAGATTCCATTCAGAAAATTCATTTTCTGTAAGAAAGTCATTTTGAAGCACCTCTCAATGCCAGAACAAGCAACATTTGTCTTCTATCCTCTTCCTACTGCTAAAAATGGCACATCAGGATGAGGATGATTCTGCTCCTGTACTCTTGAGTCTTATGAATAGTTCCCTCTTTCCAACTTGTACCCACAGCTTTTAGCCATGATAGCAGCACAAAGATCAGTTTTGCTCACTTGTTAAGAGGATCATAACTACAAAACTAAAATGACAGTTGTCCAACTTTTAGTAAATGGAAATTCACAGTGCAGAAAATATTTGCTCTGGTCCGTCTCCTTTACCAGGGAGGATTTTACTTCTTAGTTAGGGAGCTGGAAAAGCAGCTTTGCATGCCTGACAGTAAGGACTGCAAACCACTGCAGAAAATGCTTACTACAACACGTTCCATCAAAATTGCAGGACAAACACTGAAGGCTTTCATGGTCCTAAAAATACAAAAAGCATACACAAAAAGACTTCATGATCCAAATAAAACCATCCTGGTGCATTCCAACCCCACTTATCCAATTAAATCATTATGTTTTATAAATATAACTGAATTTCAAAACCATTATATGACATCACTAAAAACCTAGGATTTAAAAAAAAAAAAGAAATGGCCCACCGTTGACGCAATCCTCCTCTCCCCCTCCCGCCCCCCCCCCCCCCCCCCCCTTACACCACCAGTAACATCAAAAATACTGAAAACTTGTATGACTTGTTGGGACAGCTGATCCATCTTCTTTAGGATACTAATTTCAGAGAGTAAGTTGCCTGTGAATTGAAACATCCCTTTGTATTAGCAGCTTGGTATTTGTGTGATGAACTACAGCAACATTTCAACTTCTCCACTAGGAGTTTCTCTGTGTAACTTCTGAGATGGATGGCCCTGGAATTCCCCATTTGTAGCACACAGACCAAAAGGTACAGAGGTTTCTTCCTTCACCTGAGCCCCATAAACTCTCCAGGCACAAACCCAGCAGATGTCACCCATCAGAAAGAGCAACTTGCACAGTTGTATCACTAGGAAGAAGAATGGCAAAATAAATCAAACCATCAACAGAAAAACAACTACAGTAGCTTTTCCCACGCTACTGAGAGAGAAATTAATCTAGCATGCTTCTCAGCACAGAAGATGGGTTTATCAGACAGAAGCAGGCTGAGAGAAAAACCAAAATTTCAGCAAACTTAAAACAAAAGATAACTCTTGAATTGCAAGTTTCCTGCAATGGTGTGCAAGTATTCTAAATAAAACTTGACTGAGTCAGGCTGCAGTCCACAAGCAGTTGAGCCAGTCAGGAGAGGTCTCATTTCCCTTCCTTTCCAAGGGCCCTGGTCCTTGTCAGGACCTCCTACAAGCAAATTCACCAGCCTTCTGTCAGACCGGTGTGTTGAATCAGTCCAAAAAAGGGTCCCACGCAGATAAGGCAGGAGGAAGATGGGAGTTCCTTCCAGCAGCAATGAACTTAACTCTGCTCACCCCATCATGAGGAAATGCAACTTAATGGAGAGTCAGTGTAGATATTTTAACATGGAACGATTGGCCTCCAGGTGCAGTAGGTACTGAAGTGGCCAAAAAGAGCTGAGGAAAGTGACCAAAGTTTTGGGTTTGGTGTTTTTTTTTTCATGGCCTAAGTTTTTTTCAGGAGTACCAAGCAGATCCAACATGTTCAGCCTTCAGAAAGCCAGAAAGGCCTGGAGAAATCAGCAATTCTGGTTCAGTGCAGCTGCAGCCCCAAGAACACCTTTTCATCGACACAGTTTGACAGCTGGGGAGCGCCAGACCCAGGACCAGCGCCAACGCACACTCCTGCGCTCGCCTCCTTGTCCCCCGCCCCAGCCAGGAGTTCCCTCGCTGCTTCTAACTACAACCCCCCCGTTACCAGGGGGGTTCCCTGACACCCGTCTAAACCACGCCACTCCTGACAGGCCCGGCCGCGCTCCCC